AGCCAAGAAGCCTCCAAGATGGCCAAGATAGCCTCCAAGACAGCCCAAGAGGGTCCAAGTTACTTCCAAGTCGTTCCAAGAAGTCTCTAAGACGGCCCAAGACTGCCCGAGAGGTGCTTAAGAGGCCTCCAAGACGGCCCAAGAGGCCTGTGAAAGGTCCTCCAGGAAGGCCGAACAAGGCTAAAATCATCGATTTCCCATAAGTTTTTGGAGGATTTTCGTATTTTCTCTTTTTCGGCCTTCCGACGGCCCAAGACGGCCCAAGAGCCCCCAATATCGCCCAAGAGGCCTCCAAGATGGCCCCAGAACGGCCCAAGAGGCCCCCCAAACGGCCCCAAGAGGGCCCACAGACGGCCCAAGAGGCCTCTAAGACGCCCCAGGAAGCCTCCAAGACGGCCCTGGAGCACCCCAAGAAGGCCCCAAGTCGGCCCAGAGAGGCCTCCAAGACGGTTTCCGACGGCGTCAGACGGGCCAGGAGCCCACCAAGACGGCCCAAGATGACGCTAGCATGGCCCAAGAAGGCCCAAGAGGCTTCCAAGAGGGCCTCCAGGAAGGCCCGAAGAGGCCCAAATCATTGATTTGCTTTAGGTGTTTGAAGGAGTTTGGCATTTGCTTCTTTTCGGCCAGCCAACGACCCGAGACATCCCGAGACGGCCCAACCAACATCGCCCAAGAGGCTCCAAGATGGCCCCAGAAGAGCCCAAGAGGCTCCCGAGACGGCCCCAAGAGGGTTCAAAGACGGCCCAAGAAGCCTCTAACACGCCCAGGAAAGCTTCCAAGACGGCCCTGGAGCATTCCAAGAGGGCCCCAAGTGGTCCCAGAGAGGCCGCCAAAACGGCTTCCGACGGGCCAGGAGCCCACCAAGACGGCCGAAGATGGCCCAAGGCGGCCCAAGAGGCCTCCAAGAGGGCCTCCAGGAAGGCCCAGAGAGGCCCCAATCATTGATTTCCTTTAGGTTTCAAAGAGTTTTGGCCTACCGACGGCCCGAGACGGCCCAATAGCCCCCAAAGATCGCCCCAACATCGCCCAAGAGGCCTCAAGGATGGCCCCCCAAGAGGCCCCCTAAGACGGCCCCAAGAGGGCCCAAAGACGGCCCAAGAGGCCTCCAATATGCCCAAGATGGCCTCCAAGACGGCCCTGAAGCACCCCAAGAGGGCCCCAAGTCGGCCCAGGGAGACTCCCAAGACGTCTTCCGACGGCGTCAGACGGGCCAGGAGCCCACCAAGACGGCCAAGGAGGCCCCCGAGAAGCCCTCAAAGGCCCCCAAGAGGCCCAAGGAGGCCTCCAAGATGCCTCCAAGAGGCTCACAGGAAGCTCCCAGGAGGCCCCAAGAGTACCCTCAGAGGCTCCCCAAATGCCCCCTCCTCCTCCTCCTCCTTCTCCTCCACTTCCTCCTCTGCCTCCTCCTGATCTTCCCCGTCATCGTCCCCCAAGTGTTCCCCAAAGGGTTTCCACAATGGTTGGGAGACCACATGGTCCGATAGCTTGGCGGAGCTCTTGCCGCAACGCTCGGCCACATGGGCGATTCTAGAAGGCAGGGGGCGGCGGTGATTCGCCGTAGGCGTCTTCGATAACGCTAAAGTCTCAATATGCGCTGAAGCTTCCTGTCCGCCCCCGCATGGTGTTCCCAGATGCGCCAAGGCAGCGCCGAGACGCACCGACGCGACTCTGATACACCCCACTCTCATGGAGAGGGGGGGCCGGCGGCAGGGGGCGAAGCCCTTACGGACGGCCAGAACAGGACCAGCAGCAGTCAGAAGAGCACGACGGATCGCCCCCAGACCATCTTTAAGTAGGGGGCAAACAGACCTACCTCGCTTTTGACCACCCTCGCTTCCAAGAGATACCAAGCGGTGTCAAATTGCAGCCTGTGCTGGTCAGGCCGCTTGACGAGGAGGCGCGTGGTATGGCTTGGTTCTGCCTGGAAGCGAAAGCGGGGTAGGTAATTCACGCTCTGATTCTCTGAACACTCCTCCCGTCGAGAGGGACGTGCCCGACTTCAGGCGCGACGCGGATCCAGAAAGGAGTGGCTCTCGCGCGGCGGGCGAGGGCGCCCTCCCGAGCGGCGGGGGCCGCGCGCCGATGCGAGAGATCGAGGCCCACGCCGCAGCGGGAGGCCTCGCGCTGCTTGAAGCACGGTGCGCGGTGTTGTGCTGAGCAGCGTTTTCTCTGGGTGGAGGGCTCGGGGCGACAGCCAGGCGGGCTTCTGCACCTCGAAAAGCCATCCGTCCTGTGATTCGCCCCTTGCAGATTCCAGCCTCGAGAACCCGTCGAAACGGCATTTCAGATTTCACCCTGTGCCCTCCACCCAAAGAAAATGCTCGGTTATGGTAGAAAACCATCAGACAAAATCAACATTTTGAACTCCTGTGGGTAAGACAGCGGCACGCGGAGGGGGCGGAAGATCTCCCGGACCACTTCAGGGGAGGAGGGAGAGCAGTGCTCATATGGTTTAACGCCAACCTGTATAAGAGGGATGCGCGGTAACGGGCGGTCCTGCGGGATCCGCAGGCGCTCCTGTACGGCATTCACGGGCGACGAACGTAGCCATGTCCACGCCTTTGCGGACTGGACTCCCGAGCGCGATCCCGCGGATAAGCAGTCACACGGATACGTTCCGCGCGGTGCATCCGCGAAAAAAACGATCTGTATCCGTGGGGTCGTGGCACAGGGGGCGGTTCCGCGAGGCCGCGGATACGGATATGGTTGTCGCCCAGGAGGCATTGCCATCAGCTGCTCTGGGGAACAACAGGCCGTTGCCAGCGTCGTGCCCTGCGGTGTCGCGCACACGAGTGGATCCGCAGAAAAGAAGGTCAGAACATCTCTTCGGTGCCGGGCTTGTCATGGTATTGTGTCGCTCGGTCTTGGGTCTTCCGGTGTCAGTTAAGTCGCGGCGATCCTCGAGGGTCGCTCGCGGGTTATGCGTGGCAGTTCTGCAGCTCCGTCTTGAGCCATCCCTGTCGCCTCGAGCGGCAAGCGTCGCTGCCCCAGCGCCCCTGCGGCCCTGCAGCCGCGGTTGGGCGTTGGTATGCGGGCCCTCCACGTGAGAGTGTTGTGACGGTGGGTGCGTTGTGAGGTTTTGGGCCTTTGTTGGTGATCGTTCTCCCCCCGTCGCCTTCGACTTGATCCACGGGGGGGCGCAACTTTCTTCCCGAAGGCCCGGTCGTCACGTTTGCGGCGCCGAACCGTAAATGCGAGGGCGAGGCAGAAAGGAGGACAAATCACGGAAGAGAAACTGGAAGATACGGAGGACCATGGATAGGACGATGAGGTACCTCCGGAGTAGGAATACGAGGCGGAGGAGGAGGAGGAGGAGGAGGAGGAGGAGGAGGAGGAGGAGGAGGAGCTGCAGCAGCAGCACAAAAAGGAGGATGAGATGAGACATAGGAGGTGGAGTAGGAGGGGACGCAGCAGGAGCAGCAGCAGGAGAGTATGCGCGTGAGGAGTAGGGGGGAGGAGGAGGAGGATGAGGAGGAGGAGGAGGACGCTGACAGAAAGTTGGCAGTGGACGAGACAGGGGCGATAGCACGAGCACCAACAAGAGAGCGGACAGTTGGGGAGGAGGGAGCGTGGAGGGAGGTGAGGGGGAAGGAGTGGGAGGGGTGGAGGAGGGTGAGGGTGGTGCTGGAGGGGGGGAGGCGTGCTAAGGGGGGGGGGAGTGAGGGAGTGGGGGAGGTCGAGGGAAAGGATGGGGAGGAAGGGAGAAACGAAAAGAAAGGAAGAGACGAGGGGGTGGGGGGGGGGGACGGGATGGGAGGGGGGGATGGGGGGATGGGCGGGGGAGGGTAGGAAGGGAGGGGGGGAGGGCTCGCTAGGTGCGCTCGCGTCATATCTGACGTCCTACCCCTCCCTCCCATCCCTCCATGGCGTAGATCTCCTCTCTGTTCGCACAGTCGGATGTCGTGCAGGGCAATGATCGCGAGAGGGTACGCGATGCATGGCAGAGCACGGCATGGCATGGCGTAGAAGAGCACGGCAGAGCGTAGCATTCCGTAGCATGGCGTGGCATTGCGCGTAGAAGCATTGCATCACCAAACATTGCAACGCAAAGCATGGCATCGCAAAGCGGTGCAAAACACAACACCGCACAACATGCCATGGCATAGCGCCGGGTTCCTTGGAGGGTAAGTGGATCGTCTTCTAGAGGTCTGGGCCAGTCTGGAGTCGTGGCTCCATGTCTAGCTCCTTGGGCTCCCCGAAACGCTCCACACAAGGCGGGGCTGATGGAGAGCACCCGCTGGCTCTGCTTTCAACATCGCCTTCTCGAAACAAAAGCGGTGCTCCCGCTTGATACTTCCTGAAAGCGACGACGCCCCCAAAAGGGGGGGCTTCTGCGGCCCCAGAAATCAACGAATCGACACCGAATGTGTAATCACCTCCGATGGTTTTTTCGAGAGGCCATTTCTCTAGATTTTGGGGCCTGTTTGGAAGGACCGCAAACGCCTGCGCTGCATCGCGAGCACGACTTGGAACAACCACAGGCGCAGAAGATAGGGCCAGCGCTTCAACGGGAGCAGCATTTTGGGAAAAACTGGGCCAAAACCCAACCCCCAGGACTCCTGTGTGAAAGCTGGCGCGCGGAGGTGAAAAAAAAAAAATATGTGGGCTATACAGGAGCAACGGAGCACGTATAGGAAAAAAGAAAGCCGGAAAAGCGGCGGTCTTCCGGACGTCATTTTTCCCCGGGGAGAAGGAGGCAGTATTCATACCGTGTTGCTGTGGAGGCTGTGGCGGGTGGAGGAGGAGAGGAGGGGCGGAGGTGGGTGAGGGAGGAGGATAGGGGGGAGGAGGTGGTAGGAGTAGTGTGGAGGAGGAGCGGAGGGAGGGGAGGAGGTAGGTGGAGGAGGAGAGGGTGGAGGGGGAGAGGGTGGAGGAGAGGGTGGAGGAGGAGGGTGGAGGAGAGGGTGGAGGAGAGGGTGGAGGAGGAGAGGGTGGAGGAGGGAGGAGGGAGGAGGAGAGGAGAGGAGGGGGGAGGGGGAGAGGGAGGAGGAGACAGACGAGGGGGGGGAGGGTGGCGGTCCCGAGGCGCACTGGTGGCGCCACGCGGAGCTGCCGCGCCCGCCCTCTGCAGGTCGGCGGCGCGGCGGGCCCCCGGCGCGATTGGCGAATGGGGGGCTCGCTGCGCATCCCTCCTCCTCCTCCTCCTCCCCTCCTCCTCCTTCCTCCTCCTCCTCCTCCTCCTCCTCCTTGTTCCTCCTCCTTGTTCCTCGTCCTCCTTGTTCCTCCTCCTCCTCCTCCTCCTCCTCCTCCTCCTCCTACTCCTCCTCCTCCTCCTCCTCGTCCTCCTCGTTCCCGGAACGTGGACGGTTCCTCCTCCTCGTCCTCCTCCTCCTCCTCCTCCTCCTCCTCGTTCCCGGAACGTGGACGACGGCGCGCCGAAGGGGCCCCGGCGGGAGCCCAGGGACACACAAACAAACAGGCATAAATCCGAGGACTCCCAACATTTTCAAGGTTTTCTGGGTCTTCATCCTCGCCCGCCACTTGCCACACGTTCCAGCACTGTCCTGGGGATCGGCGACTCTTTGTGTCCGTGTGTCTTTTTTTGTTACCCCCCCTGCCTGTTCGCAAGGTGAACCAAGGTGCTCCGCGATGCTCCTCGAACGTCCGAGCGATGCCGAGGAAGAGGGAGCCCTGCGCGAGAAGACGCGGTGACCCCACGCGATGGCTCACGCAGGCCGCCAGCGCAGCACGCCGCGCACAGAGGAGGACGCCCACGCGCGGCCTCTCACGCGGCCGGCCTGCGCGCCGTGGCCCGCGCGGGCCCCAAAGGGCCCCCGACGTCATCAGAGGCCCCCCCCCCTGGGGCCGCGAGGAGGAAGGTAAAGGGAAATGCCTCCGCGCAGCACGCTTCAAGACTGCCTCCGAGATGCTCCTCCACGCCCCCAAACGGCTCCCAAGACTGGAGGCCTCCTAGATGGGGTCGGAGCAGATGGGGTCGGAGGATCGCGCCGCATCGCCGATGCATCACCGATACATCCGCGATACATCGGCGACGTATCGGCGATGCACCGGCGTTGCATCGTCGACATGGGCGATGCATCGGCGACGTCGGCGTGAAGCAAATCGGGCTCCACATCGAGCCGCATCGGCGATGCATCGGCGATGCGGCGCGATCCTCCGACACCGTCTGCTCCGACCCCATCCAGGAGGCCTAGAGTCGTGCTCTCTTCGCAGCGCGGACCCCGCGGAGGCCCCCAGCCCCCCAACCCTCCCCCGGGGATCGGCTTCTCCTCCTGGCTTCCCCGGGGCCCTGCAGGGGCCCCCCCGGAGGCAACATGCCGCGGACGCCTCCCGCCGTGCTCTCTTCTCTCGGGGGCGGCCAAGGAGGGGGGCGTCCAGGACGGGGTCGCAGCTCATGGCCGGCGGCAGGTGCGCGGTCCAGGGGGGGGGGGCCCGGGGACGCATTGAGAGAAGAAGACGCGCCATGAACTCTGGGGGTATACCATGGCCCACGCCCTGAGATCCCCCCCCCCGCCCCCTCTTTGCCGCCCCCGATTTGCACAGCTCCAGGAGGAGGTCCGGGGATCGGCCCCGGTTCTCGCGTCGCTCACGTGGCGCTCTCTGTGCTGCCCTCGGCGGTGCCACCTGCCGACCGCCGGGGACGACGCGGTGCTGGTCAGTCGGCGTGCCAGTAGAGCACGGCGACGAGGCAGTACGCGAGCGTCAGCAAGAAGCCCTCCAGCCAGTTGGACCTGTCGCCGAGGACCCAGCCCCCCCCCTCCTCCCCCACACCCCTTCTCCTCCCGATCCTTTCCTCTCCTCCTCCTCCACCGCCTCTGCCTCCCCTCCTCTTCTGACTCCTCCCCCTCGCTTCGTCGCTCTCCTCCTCCTCCTCCTCCTCCTCCTCCTCCTCCTCCTCTTCCTCCTGCCCCTCCTCCTTCTCCTGCTCCTGGTCCTTCCGCCTCCCTCATCCCGCTTCCTTCTCCAGCACTTCCTTGCAAATCAATCCGCCGACCCCTTGGGGTTCATCGGCGTGTGAGATGTCTCCCCCTCTCAAAACCCCTCCCCAAGAGCCCAGTCGGCCCGATTTGGAGGGGGGGGTCCCCCGGGATCCGGGTGAACGCTTCTGGGAGGCAGAGGGCCCCAAAACAAGCCAAGAGGGCCCTAAGAGCCTCTTGGGGTGGTGCACGAGTCGCTGAAAGATTTATCCAAAAGGCTCACGCTGGCCTCCAGACGGCCCAAGAGGCCCCCAAGACGCTCAAGAAGCCCCCCAAGAGGCCTCCAGAAGCAAACATCGCGACATTCCAGTGAGAAAGCGTATCTTTCTAACACGTTGCCTCTTGGGCGTTAACAGCGTCCCAGACGGCCCAAGAGGCCTTCAAGATCGCCCCAAGACGGGCCAAGAGGCCCCTGAGATGGCTCCAAGGCGAACCAAGAGGGCCCCAAGACGGCCCAAGAAGCCCCCAAGACGGCCCAGGAGGGCCACAGGACAGCCCCAAGAGGGGGCCCAGAGGGGAACCCGAACGGGAGTCATCCACCCTAAGACGCCTCCGGGTTGCCAGAAGAAGCCCCCAGCAAGCCCCCACGGAGCCCCAAGATGACCGCAAAGCCCCCAAGAGGCTCCCAGGAGGACCCCAAGAAGTTCAAACACTGCCTCCAAGACGCCCCCCCCCCCGAGACGCCTCCCACGAGATCCCTATCAGCCATCCGGGTGATCTCAGACCCGCAACCCAGGCACGGTGGCGGGATGTGCCGAATGCCATTCGATCCGCCGCCCCCTGTTCTCCTGTTGATTCATCACAAGGGTGCCTGGCGTGCTAGATGATTTCGGTTTTGGTCTTTGTTCTTTTCCATAAGAAGTCCCCCTGGGGCTCGGGCGCGTACCGCCGGGGTCCCGGGAGGAACTCCAGGCCTGCACACGACCTCAACGTCCGCAAACAATTCTCCAAGACGGCTCAAGATGGCCTCCAAGACGGCCAAGATGGCCCTCAAGCTCGCCCAAGATGGTCCAAGACGGCCTCCCAGACGGCCCAAGAGGGTCCCAGATACGTCCAAGTTCGCCCAAGAAGCCTTCGAGGGCCCGAAAAGGCCCAAGTCGTTGGTTTTCCTTAGGGTTTTGAAGGAAGTTGGCATTTGCTTGTTCTCGGCATTCCGACGGCTCAAGACGGCCCAAGAGGCCCTCAAGATTGCCCCAAGATCGTTCACGAGGCCTCCAAGATGGCCCCATGAGGGCCAAAAAGGCCCACAAGACGGCCCCAAGAGGGCCCGAAGAGGCCTCCAAGACGGCCAAGATGGCGTCCACGACGGCTTAGATTGCGTGAAAATGCCTCCAAGATGGCCCAAGACGGCGCAAGAGGCCTCCAAGACGGGCCAAGAGCCCTCCAAGAGGTCCTCCAGGTGGGTCCGAGGAGGCCCAAATCGCTGATTTCCCTGATGCTTTGGAAGGAGTTTGGCATTTGCTTCTTCTCGGCGCTCCGACGGCTCAAGACGGCCCAAGAGGCCCCCAAGATCGACCCAAGATCGCCCACGAGAGCTCCAAGATGGTCCCATGACGGCCCAAGAGGCTTTCACGACGGCCCCAAGAGGGCCCCAAGAGGTCTCCAAAATGGCCAAGATGGCATCCAAGACGGCTACGATGGCCCCAAGATGCCTCCAAGACGGCCCAAGATGCACCCAATACGGCCTAGGATGACGTCAAGATGGCCCAAGACCGCCAAGATGGCCCAATCGAGCCCAAGAGTGCCTCAAGAGGCTCCGAAGAGGCCTCCTCCCCCTTCTCTTTTTTCCTCATTCTCCTCCTCTCTCGACCACGTGTTCCCCGAAGCGTTCCAAACAAACTTGGGGAACACATGGTCCGATAGTTTGGCCAAGCTCTAACCCAGCTTTCGGCCACATAGGCGCTTCCACGAAGGCAGGGGGCGGCGGTGATTCGCCGTAAGCGTCTTCGATATTGATTTTCATGGTATGTTGACAAGTGCCCGCTGTCTGTGTACGTGGGCTCTCGCCTGTTTCCCTATGCGTGCGCGGCGAATGCTGAGAATGTCAGCCCACGAGGCCCCGAGAAGGCCCCCAAGAGGCCCCCATGAAACCCCAATAGAGCTCCAAAAAGCCCCCAGGAGTCCCTCAGGAGCAACACGCAACAACCGCCAGTTCCCCAAGGGGTCGGCGGTGAGGCGTAAGCCCGATAATCATCCCTGTCGCACCCCCAGGTGTGTCGGCAGGGCGGGCCGTGCGTTTCGCCTGACAGTTCTCGCAGCTACAAGTCTGGATGGAGATTGTCTTCACGACGGAGCTCTCGCGCGCTCGTCTTAAGAGTTTGCAGCACCTTCGAGTATGGAAGGGTGCTGTTTTCAAGATGGGGCTGCCGCCTCGGCACCGCGCGCGCTCGTCCTGAAAGCCTGCAGCGGTTCCACAGATGGTGTGTATGGGGCCTTTCAAGATGGAGCTCTCAGCGTCGCGCGCGCTCGTCGTACATGCTCCCAGCAACTACGAGGATGGAAGTGGGCCATTTCTAAATGGATCTCTCGCCTTGGCGCCGCGCGCACTCGTCTCACGTATAATAGCAGCGAGAAGGGTAGGGGATAGCTCCTTTTCAGAATGAGGCTCCCGCTTGAGGCCCCCCCCCCTGAATTTGAAGAGCAGAAATTTGAACATATGCAACAGATGTACGGACGGAGGGTGGTTCTTGTTCATCATGGGGCTCTCGCTCGAGACTTCCTCGAAGATTATGCCCATACTTACGCACACAAGTGGGGCGGCCCTTTGGAACTGCATGGGCACCTCGTTGAACTGTACGGTCATACTGCTTCGCATGCCTTCTGATTCGCTAGAAGTAGATGCGAGGAGGAGGAGGAGGAGGACGAGGAGGAGGGGGAGGAGGAGGACAAGGAGGAGGAGGAGGGGGAGGATGAGGAGGAGGACGAGGAGGGGAGCAGGAGGAGGAGGAGAGGAGGAGGAGGAGGAGGAGGATGAGGAGGAGTGGAGGAGGAGGAGGAGGAGGAGGAGGAGGAGGAGGAGGAGGAGGAGGAGAGGAGGAGGGGGAGGAGGAGGAGGAGGAGAG